TGTATTTATCTGGGAGATTATTTCTGCTTTGAATTTTTCTAGAGCCTCACGTATCTGCTTTGTTACTTCCTGTGCTATCAGTTCAGGGTGTCCAAGTTGTTGCTTATCAGACTTTTCCACCTCATTTCCCCCTGAATTTCCTTTTTGTGTCATGGAACCCTGAGTTTGTGCTTTGCTGAAGTGTCTTCTCATTTTTGTCTTTGGTACTGTCCTTGGTTTAATTCCTGGGTTGATATTTCAAAATTGCTTAATGTAGGTATCTTTGTTGCTTGTGTTTAAAACCCTTGTGGAATGATTGCTTTTCAGAGGTGTCTTCCAGATATAGCTTGTGTTTGGGTTTTGAGACTCTAATGACTCTCGGGCTATTTTATTTTCCTTATACCAAGAAGGAAAACTAATTAGATCAATCACAACATGTTAGCCCAAATGACATAGTCAGCAATACCACAGCATCAGACACAGCTCAGAAAATGACAATTTGTGGTAGTTATTAATCTATCACATTTAACTATGTAAGTTAAATTAAAACCGAGGACCAACCCAACATAAGTTTATAATGAATAAACTCTTCGATATAGCATCTTTCCCCTTTGGGTGGGGAGTTAAAAGGAGTTGGGGAGGGAGGGACAGGTAGAAAGAACAGGTAAGATTAGCAGTGAGGCCAGAAGACACAGAAAGATCACACAAACTCTTAAGTAAAGTTGTTAAAGGCCAGAGAGAAAGGCAGAAGGAAAGAACAAAGATGTGAATAGAATCACCTAACAGCAACAGGGAGGCTAGATACCAAATTTACTTTCCTTTAAACCTAATGATAAGAGAAGGAAAAAGAGAACAAAAGAACAATAAGGGAGAAATCCGAATTCAGTCCAGAAAGGAACAAATGGGGAGATGAGGAGCAATGTGTGACAGCAAGAGAACAAGTGAGAGAGAGAGAGAAATAAAAGATAACAGAAAGAAAATTAAAATTTGAAGAGTAAAAAAAGTAAAAATTAAGAGTTCAAAATAAGAGGGAAAAAAATTTTTTTCTTTTTTTGCAAATAGCACTAGAAATTATGGGCCTCCTTCAGGGTATGTTTCTGCTGTCCCAGTAAGCCACTTAGGAATCCCTGTGCATATATGAGTCAATGAGTCTCAGCAAGCCAGCAGCAGACCAAGTACAGTGGTCTCATGTGCCTGTATCGTAGAGATTCTCTTTACTTTTCCACTGAGCTTCAGTTTTCATCGAGGAGCCTGAGAAGCCCTCTTTCTGTTACTAACTTCCGCTCTATCTTGTGGCGCTCAGGACAAGGGTCTTTATAATCTCTTGTGCCTCTGTAGTGTGGGACCAGGTAGCAGAAAAGCCAGAAGGCCAGAGGCGCTCGGCGGGGGTGGGGGGGGGGGGGTATTGGGCCTTGCAGGCACCCATGCTGCTAAGCGGACCTCACAGTGGCGTGGGCGGGGCCCGGGACGGCTGTGTAGCTTCAAGCTGCTTGTCTCACCTGCCTCATCGTGCTTGGAGCCTGTCGGATGGCGGTGGGGCTGTAAGTTGCCCCTGGGACCTCACCATGGCATGTGCGGGGCCCGGGACGGCCGTAGAGCTTTGGTAATGTTTCTTTTTAAATCTTAGACTCCTACATTTTTCTCAGCTACATTCCCGGAATTGGAGGAAGTAGATCACAGACATTTATGGAAGGAAACTAAAGTATTCTGTATATCTGGAAGTATAATTTTCATACTCTAAGAAGCTGTGGCATCTCATGTAGCCTGTATATGTTATAAAATCTCTCACCTGGTTTCCGTGTTCTGAAATCAAACCTCTGTCTGACTTTCAAGGCCTTGACCCTCTGGATCCAAACCTCTATACTTTTCTATCCTTGTCTCCATGAGGAAAAAGAAAGAAGAGAACTGAGCTGATGGTGTCCTCACAATAGAACAGACTTTTCATAAGAATCTGTTACCCAACAAGAGTATTGTTATACCCTCATTTGCAACAGAGGATCTGAGTATATGACCTTGTCCAACTGACATATTTAGTAAGTTACAGAACTAGGATTCAGTCCCAGGCCCAGAAATATGACAGGTTAATGCTTTCTTGATCCAGTGACCAGATCAAACAATGCACCTTCCTTCACTTCCACAGTTCTTGCTTCCCTGACTCCTCACTTTATTTCTTTCAACATTTTCCAAGTATTATAAGGCCTTTAAAACCATCAAATCCCACATCCTTGGGAAATCCTGGGGCCACTTCTACTCTAGTGATTACTCTCTTCCCTAAGCATCTTGTGGCTACAAAGTATTCCAAATAAAATCAAAGGCTTTAGGGTTAGGGAGACATACAGAGGCCAAGCTCAGGTACATCATGGCTGGGTGAGCTTGCTCTGAACTAAAAGTTTGTTTCATTCAGGTAAAAAAAAGGATGCATTGCTGCCTACCTCATGGAGTTACTGCATGACTAAATTCCACAATTGGTGTAAAGAATTTACCACAGTGCCTGGAAAATGGTTTCCCATATTGTATTTTTTGACTGTCAGCTCTACAGATTAGATTATGCTATCACTCTTTGCACAGTTCATCTACTAGCTCCTGGAGATATTTATTAATTGGTTTTTATTTAACCTTTATTCTGTTCTTGTCTAATTTAAAAGCCTTCAAAGCTTGAATAGTCTTCCTATGTATCCTCTGCGTATAACACAAGATCTCAAAAAACATTTTGAGTTGACTTTATTTTGCAATATGATCTCTTTTAAATAGCAACAGGAAGAGCAATTCAAGACGTGCAGTGGATTTTGGTGACACGTTTCCTTTCTGATGATCAGTGGCTCTTTGCCTTGCTTTTCTTCTTCCGGATCTCATATTTTGAGACAGCACTTGAGGGCAGCATTGAGTCAGCCTGCACAGGAAGTGAAGGAAAAAGAAATATGAAATCCAAAGGTAGGGGCCGACAGAAAGGAAGTGAATAATTTTCTACATACGTCACTAGCTTTAAAATGACTGTGCATTTTGCTACACAAATATACTTAACAGCAGCACAGCTCTCTGTGTGCCTCTTGGGAGCTTTTGAGGACAAATGACTTGTTTTCTCCCTAATCCTGAGTGGCAAAGCAAACCATGATAGATTTAACCACTTACACAGCAAAAAAGAGAAATGTATGTGCCTTATTGTAAAGCAAGATAAATTTAGCTACATTTATGATGCACAAAGGCATCTCTTCTGCTCTAGTGATTAAAGGCTTCCTTACTAGTTCGAATCAGTTAAATCAGTTCAATGAAAGTGAATGAAAACACTCCATTAGATCTTTGCCCTGCAGTACTAAAGAGAAGAAAGACAACAACTTGGTAGCAGTGCTTTATTTAGCCAAGCAAGTTCCTAAAACCCACTATGCCCAGCGCAAATTCCACACAATCTTAGTGCCATAAAGATACCACTGCAAATACATGCTTAGCTGCTGTATTGAGGCTCAGCATCTTTGCCTCTGAAGACTGCAAGATCTTTACAGTTCAAACTAGATTACTAATTACCTGATAAAAAGAAAGTGGATTTAGGAATTTCCAAAAAAAATTTTTTTATGATACAAAGAAAGTTCACAAAAGAACATCCTTTCTCAGCAACTTGTCCCTGTTTCTGACTTTGACCAGAATCAAGCATACATTTTTACTCCAGTGAGGTTCCTATGAAAATCAGATAGGAAAGTGCAATAACATATGTCAGTTTCTCCATAAGCCCATACCTAATTTCTGGTTTACACATTCTCTGATTTATTATAGGGGTGTTTATTTTTCATATATTCATTCAACAGACATTCACTAAATATCCAATGTGTCCATCAATGGGAAAATAAAGATGGACATATTACTTGTGTTTGAAAGAAGTTAACAATCTAGGGAGAAAGAAATTCACACAAATACAAAAAAGATTACCATCATAATGATTTCTTTTAGATTTGGAACCTACTAAGTTTTTATCATTAAACTAAATTACACCTGGAGTGTAATCTCAGAGAGCAGAAGTCTCATTTTACAGGTGAAGAAAGAGATCCATCTGTAGCCAAGATCACATAGCCAGTTAGTATAAAGCCACCAAAGAGCTTGATGGTACATTTCAACCACATTTGTTATCACTCTTGAATCCAAGATCATTGCAATGACACATACTATCTCTTGAATTTCCTTGTACCTTCTAGGACTCCAGTAAAAATGTTTAATAGACATTTGTTAATTGACCTTACTTTACTATCTCTCATGCTGTCATATGTTCAGACAGAAATCTCACCAATACTATGCCTTTCATAAGCCAGTTCACTTTTAAGATGTTTAGTCTCAGACATTTTTCTAATTTGACCAAAGCAGCGCTTCCTTTTCACTTGTGGCTGGAAATTGATGGAAGAGAGGCTAGCAGGCATTGGATACTAGTATATCTGAATTTGACCTTGCATTTCCTCACATACCATATTCCATCCAAAACTGTCTTCCTAGCTGTATTTTGGAAAGTCAGCATTTAAGGGCATTTCACAAAAAGCCAGTTGGGTAGTTTGTACTTCTAGGCATCCAGGGGCATGCTGGTAAAGATTTAACAATAGAATCTAGGAGAGAGGAAAGCAATGCAAACCATGATAAGCAATATTTGCCAATTTTTATGGCATAAAAACTTTCACCACCGGCAGTTGAAACCTAGCAGTGTATCAGTGCATTCTGAGCCCAGTGTGGGGAAAATGTGCACAGTCCGGTCTCACTGAGCAGTTTCAAGCCAGCTGTGGCAGACTGTGCTGCCCATCTCCAGAAGACGTGGACTCAGCAGTGACCATCCTCCATTGCACAGCCTGACATTCTTGCCGTTGTTTAGCCACGGGAGGTGGGAGAGAGGGCCGGGATTGGCTTGTGGACATGGTAAATACAACAAGCAATGGGGCTAATTCTATGACAAATTTTGAACTTGACAGGAATATAGGGAGAAAATGGTCAGCTATTAACTTATTAAATTAATGAAGATATAAGAGAAAAGAAAGTGACTATACTCACCTGATAATTATTACTTCAACACACGCACACACCTCTGGTCATCTTAGTGAAGTTAATTGGGAAACTGGTGGATAAAATTATAGACGGAGGCTTGACTGAAAACCAACAGCTCCTTCAAGAGTTTAAACCTGCAAGGTCAGCTACTCAGGTCAGACTACAGCGCTGGAATTCAGGAAGCAGAAAGAACCATAAGTAGAAGAAAGAGGGAGAGGGGCTTGAGATGCAAAGCTTGAGCAGCATTTATTTGTGCGTTTGCTCAGTCAGTGAGTCAATGGCTGTTAGCATCCCTCCAAAATTCCGATGTCGCTGATATTAAGAGGCAGAGCCTTGGGGAGGTGGCTGAGTCCTAAGAGCAAAGCCCACACAAGTGGATCAGCGTCCTTATAAAGGGACGAGAAGTTTGCTCTTTGGCCTCTACGGGGGGTACGTAGCCACCAGCCAACCAGGAGGTAGGTCCTCCCTGGAACCAAATCTGCAGTTCCCTGATCTCAACTTCTCAGCCTCTAGAACCAAGAGAAAGAAGTGCCTGTTGTCTAAGCTGCCTAGTCTGTGGCAATTTGTTGTAGCAATCCTGGTTGAAACAATAGGTAGCCATTGGGAATCCTTTTCTGTGTTCTGATATATTTAGTATTTTAGTAAAGAGAATCAAGTAATGAAAAAGCAAAAAATGAAACCAAGTCTTATGCTCTGTAGGAGATTCTGCAGTTATGTCCGTGGCCCAGGTCTACTCCCTGACTCCAACCCTGGGGCCACAGAAAGAGCAAGGGGAGCACTCGAAGCCTCAGTCTGCCCTGGTGATTCCAGTCCAGTGCTGAGCAGTCACCAGGCAAAAGAGCCGCCCCCTCGCCCCAGAGGAAATCCTTCAGTGGCAGGCTTAGGGGGCATCACCAGCCCTGCCCAAACCAACCGGGAAGTACCAGTCTTGGTTCTCAAACGTCAGGCCTGGATTTACATATTTGTTCAGAACAAGAATAGGTTCCCAGCTTCTTCAGCATGGTTTATTTGTGTGCTGCCTGCCTGGGGAGCACACTGGGGCTGTACCTCTCTTCCCTTCCTGCAGCCTTGCTCCCCGACTGTCCCAGTCATCATGTCTGGTAGCAGCCCTTCAGCAAGCTCATCACCTTCTGATGTCAGCAACTCATACATGTATTGTGTTCAAAGCCATGGGATGACTCATATGATTGCTTTCCATACAGTTTTACAAAAATGGAGCTTTAAATTATGTCTCTAAACAGAACTGCCTGAGTTTTTCATTTTAATTTTGCTATTTGAATTTAGATGATAGAGCATATGTATTATAATATACTTTGCACTAATATGAATACCTATGAATATATTTTATGGTAGCATGAGCCCTCATACCATAAATCCTTAACAGTCTGTATTCACAAGACACATGTTCTGATGTAAGGAGAATGGCTCTTTCTTGCCTGATTCACCTGAGGACTCTCCCTTCATGGGCAGTTAAAGTAAGGATGTGTCTTCAGAGGTCCATGTGCTTGATGCTGGTTCTCTGTGTGGTGGTCTTGAGGTGGAAGAACTTTTAAGAGATGTAGCCTGGCACAAGGTAGTTGGGTCACAGAGTATCATTCATAGAAGAGATTCACGCCATTCTCCAGGCACAATGCATTCCTGCACGAATGTGTTCTGAGGAGCTTGGCATTGCCCCTGAGTCTCTTAGGTTTCTTATCTTTCTGGGTGCTCTCTTCCTCTTACATTTTCTCCTGTCATGATGCTATCCTCCATGTTGTGATGTGGCCAGAAAGCCCTTACCAGAGGCTAAATAGATGAGACCACCCAATGGTGCACTTGCAGCCTGTAAGTGTGACCTTTTTCTTTACAAAATACCAGCTTTGGTTATTTTGTTATAGCAACCCAAACTGGACTGATACACCAAGGAACATCCATGATTATAGAAACTGTTTCAGACTCTTTCACCTGTAAGTGGATTTGGGAGTGTAAGACACCAACTTCCTTGAATTGCTATGGGGGCAGACGCCAAGGGAAATCGTTGTACATGTTGAGGAACCTAGTGAGAAGTAGTGCTCACTGGGTACCTTTTCTGGTAGTCGACATACCCCAGAGATGTATCATGTGTGTTCACTGACAGCCATGGGCTTCTCATAGGCTCAGAACTAAAGTCAGGGCAGAGTCTGAGGGAAAACAATTGCCATTTAATGTGAAAGACGTGAGACAGTGAGTCCTCAGGCACTGACAGATAAATATCCCCTGAATATTAGAGGGGGCTGCTCTCTCTCTACCTTCCAAGAAAGGGTGGAGAAGGGGCAAAAACCTTCATCTGACTGAATTTCAGAACTGTGGAACTAGACTTTGGATTGGAATGCAGAGTAGAGAACAAAATAAAATGTATGGGTAGACTGACAGAGAAGTCGCCCAATTGCATAGGGAAAAGAAAATCTCAGAAATTTCTAAGTTAGATTTTTCTGCTAAGTGTGGAATTAGACACGGAGAATAAAATACCAAATTGAGTTATGAAGATGAAGCAGTATCTCCATACAATTGTCTTGCAATTATCAGGACCCTGAAAATGTATGTCTATCACACATATAATCCATGGTAAATTTAGTTATTTAGTGCCATATTACCCAAAATACCTGCCCCACTGTCCCACTCCCTGGTACGAATGTGGCTGGTTGAATATTGAATCTGTCTGGAACCACTTAAAGACCGTCAGTGTTTAGACAGAGATAATTGTTTATTAAGTTTACATTATCTCTGATTCTTTCCAGTCAATGTTAATTCTGAGTCTAAATGTAGAGAAAAGAAATGTTTATTGAAGTGTATTCACCGTCTAAACATCAGCTGTGAAGGAGGTTAGCAAGTCATCTTATATGATTATGAGCAAATATGCATTTAAATTCCTTACCCGTTAGGGACTTCCTGATCTCCATATAGATTGTCTCCTTTCCTAGAAGACAGAAAAGCACCCACCGAGGGACCAGAAGGCTGGACGTGCTCCAGGGGCGATGCGGGTGGGTGAGCTGTCTGTGTGGTCTACTCCAAGCTTGGTTTTAAAACAGAACTGGATGTCCTTGTCTTGTGCACGGGACTTTCCTGAGCTGAGTTCCGAAAGACAAGGGGTGAGGGGAGGCAGAGGAAAGTCCAACAAATACATTAAAGATTACTCTTTAAAAATCCACTTGATGGGCCAGGGATTTAGCTCAGTGGTGCCGCCGCCTGCCTCGCAAGCCCAAGGACCCGAGTTCCATCCCCAGAATGGAAAAAAAAAAACGCACTTGATTCATCAGAGTAGAACTGACCTTAGGTATACTGCTTTTTGCGGGGGACGGGGGCAGGTCCCTTCAGATGACAATAAGTTGTCTCTCAAGAACAACTAGTAACAAAGTAACAAGACAAGGAAGGGACAAACTTCTTTCTAAGGCTTTAGATATTTCCCCCAAATATTGCCACCTCAACCATTTACCTGAATCGGAACTCTTTGCTAATTACAATTTAAGGTAATATTTAAAATCTTCCTGCTTTGGGGCCGTTTGTTCCGCCCATCCGGGTCCTAGGGAATGCCTGTTTCACAGTTGAAGCCACGCTGATTTCACCCCCTCCCTAAGGGTGCCTACCTCACTCCTCTCCGAAAATGCACTGCAAGCTGCATTCTGCAGAGGGGGCGGTGTCAGCCCTGCCATCTCCGTACTCAGTACTTACTGACATCAAGGCTACATTCTAATCGTTATAATTGTCCCCCCCTCCCTTGACTGTCTTTGATAGAGTGAAGCCAAGTACAACACAGGCAGGAATCGCAAGTTCTCGCTGCCCCTCCCATTGTCACAAAATTGCCCCCCCCATCCTTCCCTCCAGCCTGAGGAGGGGAAAATACGGGGCTTTGGGGAGGGAACCTGACTGTGCGAACTTCCCACCCTCCAGCGCCTCCCCACCGGGCCCTGACCCGCTGGTGGAGCCCTTTGTCCCCGCTGAATGACAGTGCGGCGGGGCCGTGGATGAGGCCGCTGTCCTGTGCGCAGGCCCAGCCCGACGCTGTCAGCAGCTGCAGAGGCCCTCGGAGCCTGTCAGCTGCCCCACCTGTGGCTGCCGCACCCCGGCCAAGAAATCAATTGCTTAGAAACATAAAATCAATCGGTAGGCTCAGATGGGAAAGGGTTAAGGAACACAGGGTCAGGCAAGGCAACGAGGGAGGCCTGTTGCTGAGGACCTTCTCTATCTAAGTGTGTCGCGTTTGCAGCCATGGGTCTAGCTTTCAAACACAAGAAAGACAGCACGATTAGAACTAAAAATGGGGGAAAGAGGCAATTTACAAAAAACGGCTTAATGCCCGTTGCTTCACATCCGGACATTCAGATGTATTCTAAAGGAAAAAAATGGAAACAAGTTTCCTCTTCTATTTTTGTATTCTGCTAGTCTAGTTTTGCGTTTAATTTGTTGGGTTTATTCATTCTCCTTACATTTTATCTGCTATATTTTTCAGTGCTAGCACAGAGAGGTAAATTTTGTTCTCCATATGTATTTCATGGACTATTTTCTAATTCATATTTTCTTGTTTCCCTTGAACTTTTTTTTTAAACTAGAAAAATAATAGTTCTGATTCCGTTGCAAAAATTGTTCCTCACCATGTGACTTTTCATATCAGTTGCTTGCAAAATAAAGCGTGAATGCTAAGATCTCTTGCAGCTCTTAAATTGTGTGACTCTATAAATCAGTTTCCTACAGTATTTTTAAATGACTTAGACAAGACATTTGGAATATGGAAATAAGGGATATGGAGGAAAGGCGTTCCTAATAGGACAACCTGTTTCTTTGGAACTTTCTCCAGTGGAGAAGCAAAGGTCAGCAATACCAAGGTCACAGTGAGGATGCAGCAATATTCTGAGTAATTTTGATGCAATAGTAAGGCTATCATTGCCAAGTGAATTTGTTAAATTAAATACAGGGTTTTTTTAGTATTTTGCTTTATTTTAGTTTTAAAACAAATACATCTTTGACCCTGGCATAGGAAAGCATTGCATATTCTACATTTGAATTAAAAAAAAATAACTCACTAATTTTTCTTCACCAATAGACATTTAGGGGCAATTTAATTCAATTAACAATGAACTAATTCAACAAACTTGTATCACATGTCAACTGCTAGTGTATGCTGAAAATAAAATATACTTTCTTTCCCCAAGGTACTTAATTAAAACCTAGTAACTTGAATAAAAACAACTGCATGAATAAAATAATCCCAACTACCATGTTTTAAGCACTTATGTGGATTTAGTCACTTTGATATACATCTAATAGATCTAATCATCAAAGCAGTGCCACAAAGTATCATTCTTATTCTGGTTTTACTGATGGAAACCCAAAGATCAGGGAAGTTAGATGACTTGCCCAAAGCCAAACAGCCTACTTAGGTATACTGTGAGTGCAAGTCTTTCTACACTACACCTAGCCTACATACCACTATATTATTATAAGATGTGATATATATATTATTTTTATAAGATAGATATAGAATGAAGTATTTTATGTTTATAAGAGATATATTATAAGAAAGAAAATGGAATTCAAAAATGGGATAAAGATCAATGCTGAGAACATTCTAAGAAGAAATGTAGCTGACTTTTACTCCTAAGCGACCCTGGGGCTAGCTAAGCTAGATTCCTTGTCACCCCTCCTGCAGTACCGTGGACTTCCCCTTTCATAATACACATCACCCTTGAAATTACGTTTTAAGAAACTTCCCCACTAAGAGCATACGTCTCATGAGGACAGGAGCCACTCAAGTGCTGATAAATGTTTAACCATCAATTCTTCAGGCTTAGGGTTTCTGAGGTTCAGAGTCCCCTGACCCACTCACATTCTTGCCTAACAGCCAGCAAAATCCCTGAGAACACAGCTATCAGCTCTTGAAAGCCAGTATGCCACATTCTACCACTGGAAACCGCCAGCAGGAGCTGCCTGCGTTGGTTATCACTGAATCCCCGGACCAGAAACTTTATGCAGACACTCAGTATTCCTGTTGAGTGACTATTTCTAGAAAGTTAAGCTTTTCTTGCCATCTTGTAGTTACTCAGGCAGTCAGAATTCATATCTTACGGGAAGCCAAAGTCTGGAGCTTGGGAAAACTGAGAAAGAACTCAGGGAATTACAAATTTTCTGGCAGAATTCTTCATCACGACCATGTGTACACAACTGTTGCACTGTGGCTGAGAGGGGATGGGAAAGACTAACGTGCTATATTTATTATGGCTCCATCTTTGTACATAATATTGAACTTACTACACTTAAATTTTATAGGCTCAGGCAACACAATCCTAAAACACTTAGTAGTATCTTGGTTGGAAAATTTATCACCTTCTCTTCATCTTTCAAATATAGAGAGAGTAAAATGTGTTATCATTATGTACTGCAAACATGTACTGATAAAAGTAGAAAAACAAAAAATGTAGACCGAGTAGCAAATTCCTCCAACCAAGAGTGTTGGAGGCAGGAAGATCACCAGTTTGAGTTCAGCCTGGGCAACTTAGCAAGTTAGCAAGACCTTGTCTCAAAAACCTAAAAAAGTTCCGGGGATTTAACTCAGTGCAAATGCCTCAGGTTCAATACCTAGTGCCAAAAAGTAAAAATAAAATAAAAATGTAGGAGATGAGGCACAATGATAAGAAAGCACCCAAGACGGAGCTAAGCCAAAGGACACTACTGATTACTAACAGTCATTATTATTGTGCTCTTTATTGTCAAGACTTAGATGCCTTTGTCCTCTATCAGATGATGAGGCCCTAGAGCAGTGGTGGCAAACCTGTGGCACATGTTGCAGAGTGGGTACGCAGAGCCCTCTCTGTTTGCATGAGAGCCAAACCGCCCAAGCCAAGGGTTGGCAGCTTATCAGAGTGCACACAATGGCGAAGATCACATTAACTGTGCAAAAGCACGCCAAATGCAAACTTCCACCTTCCAACAAAAAGCTGTTTGTATGACTGAAAGCTCTGCTCTTGTGTTTTTCTTTTACAAGAAAATGTTAATGTATGAGTTGTTTTTTCTAAACTAAAACCTTAGTATTTGGGTTTAATGGCAGTGTTCACACTCTGCCATAAATAAGTGGGTTCTGATTGCAGTTTGGGTACTCTTCTCTAAAAGGTTCGCCATATCTGGCCTAGAGGAAAACTGAAGTGCTCCACACGTTCTCCTGTACCTTTTCCACATGGCTCCTGCAGTGAGTCCTCCAATTAAGTAAATACACCTTCCACAGTGAAGTGAGTTTGCCAACAGTCGGATCAAGCCAGCTGACCCACACTGTTCAGGGCATTAGTCTGAATTCTCAGCTACTCTGTCTCACTTCACAAGTTGTATTTCTCCTTATTGAAAGCAAGGACTGCAGAGCTAGACTGTCACACTTAAAATTCTGGCTGTTCCTTGGTCAACTCATTTAACCTTTCTGTCTATTTCCTCTCCTGCAAAACAAGGAAAATAACTGCATCTACCTCAACAAACCACTATAAAGATTAATTGTAGAGGTGTGTATAAAAAGCTAGTAGTCAGCATCATCAATAAATGTGAACTATTTTATACATATTTTGTGCTTATATTTGCCCTGCCCCCACCTTAAAATATTTCTAATTTCTTTTGAAATGTAGTTGATTACTTTCTATGATATGGTTGATTATTACTTGGATGTGTTACAGCCTTTGTGTGTGCACATATGATCTCTCACAGGCAGCTACAAAAGTCCTATGTAGTCAACATTTGGTATCTCTGAAAAGCCTCTGGCTGTTAGCTGGAAAAGTCACTATCTTCTAAAACAGTACATAAAATACGTCTGACTTCTGGTGGCAGAGGTTATGCTGGGAAATGATGCTCTCTCAGTCCTTTAGAATTAACTCTAAAAGGTGTTTTATAATGTTTGAAGTGGAAATTATCTATCAGTGCTGATAAAAATGCATTGCTGAGGGAGATGGCGTCTTTAGAGAACATGATATTTACCAGAATCATCGCCTGGACTCATTTGCTGTGGTCAATGGCGATTCCACAGCTGGATACATAAGTGAAACAGATCAAAGAAGACATTTCACACCGAAGGAACAAGGACCAGCACCTTCATCTCAAAAGCTGTGAACGTGTGGCCTGATCTTGTCTCCAGCTGGCCTTTCACCTGCCATGGGCCTCCTCATCTGCAAAAGAGACTGATTGGATGAGGCAGGCTCTGGGGTCCCTCTAGGTCTTCCCGCACGTCTGTGGTTGGCACTCGGACCATCAGAGTACCTCGATTTCACGACTCGAGAAAGGCAGGACAACCTGATTCTTTGGTTGATAATGAGATCTGGCACCCCTCTCTCTCATCTAATGTAAGCACTGCCCTTCCGTGGAGGCTTCTATGGATAGTCTCATGAATTCAAGACCACGTGTATTAGAAGAAGCAATTATATGATGAATGAACACAGTTTTTCATTACTTAATTCTGAGTATTTTTAAAGTCATCTGCATATCAATAGATCAGAGAAACCAGAGGACACTGTTCAGCTTCCTGGTGCCACAGGTTTATTTTTCAGATCATCTGATGGAGGAGCCTCGATGAACATTCACTGACTTCTCTGAATTCTCTGAATGGTATTAGCTAGGGCAGGCATTGGGGATTGAACCCAGGACCTTCACACTGAGCTATATCTCAAGCCCTTCTTTTACTTTTTGTTTTGAGACAGGATCTTACAAAGTTGCTAAACTGCCCAGGTTGGATGTGACTTGTGATCCTCCCACCTCATCCTCCTAGAGTGCTGGGTTTACAGGACTCACAACACATGGCAGGTATTAGCTTTTAATAAAGTTTCAGGGATTGAAAAGCGCACTTCTTAGCAAATTCAGGGCAAGTTGCAATGTCTTGCCTCTTATTTTCATGTTCTGCCGGTCTGATGTAGATATTCCAGGGAAGACAAGAGCGTATGCACCATGTCACTGTTGTCTTCAAAAAGGGTCACAAATGCAGGGCCCATGGAGTTATAGCTCCCTATATGAGCTCCTTTAAGAATACTTGTCTATACTTTGTTTCTGGTTAGAAAGACATTTTAATGATATTCATTGTTTCTAATTATAAAAAGCTGATATTGTAAACTGATATTGAAAAAGTATTAGAAGTAGTCAGAAGTACAAAATTACTTGTAATCTCACCAATCAGAGATAACTACTATTGATGTTGCACTACATTTTGTGCCAGGTTTTTCTATGTGTGTGTGCATGTACAAGTATATATGTGTATATTAAAACAAAAACACAACAAAACAAAGAAGATGCTCTCTTTTGTTTTTGTTTTTGTTTTGTTTTGCTTTGTTTTTGTATCAGGAATTAAACTCAGGGCCTCGTGCTTGCCAGGCAGGTGCTCCACAGAAGAGCTACAGCCCCGGCAAAATACTCTCTTTTGTGACCTGAGTTTTCTTCTAGAATCATCTAGAATTATGTAGATAATGTTTGCCAACATCCATACATATTAATGAAGCCATTTTTAATGATGGCATAGTGTTCCATTATATGATTTAGTATAATTTGCTTTTTATTTTCATCTGAAAACTTTTCACAATTTGTTTAATTCCATTCTTAAGTATTTAGCTTCTTACTATTTTTTACTCTTACAAATTAAAATATGGTGTATATCATTGTATGTAAATTATAGTACAGATCTATAATTACCCCACTGAAACAATTTAATTGCACTGGAGCTACCAGATCAAAGGATATTTCTTCTTCCCTCCAGCACTCACTGGGAAGGTCTGTTATTTTATGGCATGCTCACCAAGATTTCAAATTATCTTAATAATGTGTCAATTTGATGTGAGAAGAATGACAGTTTGGCCTCCCGAGATTACCAGCACAGTAATTTTTGTCTTGTATAAGTCTTTTTTGTCCTTTCATGTGAATTATCTATTTAGGTCTCTTTTGTGTTCACAGAAAAATTGCTAAAAGAATTTTTACAAGTCTATACGTTACCACATGTTGTAGTCACCACTTGAGTGATAGATTCTGGCTGCATGAAGAAATTCCAATCTTCAGAAACTCCCAGGGCAAACTCTGAAGTCACCAGCCTTAGGAGGGATGATACAAGTCACAGGGGCAGTGGATGGATACTTTCCCTAGCTACTGAGACCTGGCATTCCTTGTTCTCAATATTGAAACATCTTGGTGCTATTATAAACTGCAAAACTAGAGATTCAATTTAGAAAAAAAATAAGATAATTCTTGGACTATGGTCATACATTTTAGCACCACAAATCCTATTAATTTTTTTCCATGAGCATCAAAGCCTAGCTAGGATTTAAGAGTTTCCTGGTATGGCATGGAACTGAGTGAGGACTTCTGCCAAGGCAGTGACAGCTATTCCCACATGACATGTATAAGACATGAAAGAACTCTGATGCTTGGAAACCCAAGAAATACAGGCAGCAAGTACCTCCACACTATGGAAATCCGGGGATTATATAGCACCTAGATATTTCAGGCTCAAGTGACTGACTTAACCGTTTGCCTGGATAGCCAAATAGATTTTTTAGATCAATTCACAAAGTTATCCTAGGAGGTCATCTCTGTTTCCTTTTAACTACATAAGACATCTACCACTCTTATTTCTACCTCAAAGTCTATGTAATGCACCTGTGTGTTGCTTTTTAGATTCACAAAATCTTACTTGTGTTCAAATATATATAAAATAGTACTCAAGAATCTGACTCCCCCAGAGACACTGCATGGCAAAGTAACAGGATTCCTTATTTTATCTGATTACTCAAGTAAGGCATCAGGGAGAAGCCACATTGCTGGGCACAGAGCATGTCTGCAGATATCTTACAGAGTTGCCGATGCCTCTGGTTGCCACAAGCCTGAAAACGGTGGAGTCAGCTGACCACCAACTGAAGCCTCTGCAATTGTGAGCCCAAAGAAAGCTTTTCTCCTGTGTGATGCTTATCTCAGAAATATGTCATAGTGAGGGCTTACTAGCACAATGATCACAGGGAACTAACTGTTTTAAAGAGCACAACTACTTAACAAAGAAGGGAAGCACAACAAAATGATTACTTGAATTTATTTTTCATTGACAATTGTCAATATATGGTCAATATCTTTTGTTCTTGCTTCATTTCTTTAATTTGATCCATTTCCAAATGTCTTTCATTTTTACTCTGCCATCATATATTTCCTTTGGGTACTTTTTTCTCTTTTAAATATTAATTGCCTCATGTTAATCCTAATTTACACATAATTCTGATTTACATGACGTTAAGAGTTGCCATTTCGCCTAAATAACATTATTACCCACTGTGTGCATCCTTACAGGCCAGGGTCCTGTAAATCTGTTTCTTCTAGTCTTCCATAACGTTTCTTTAAAGGGAAATTTGTTTTCTGTCTGTTTGAAAAATTAATTTCCTATGAAAATATCTTCTTGCCCTGTAGCCTGAGTGTTTCTGCCCCACTGTGCGGCATTGTCTCGGGTCCCATGATTCACCTTGATTATTCTGTGGTGAGAAGTGTCTGACGTTCTTACGTGGACGCCACGTTCTGCGTTCCGGTCACCACCGTACTCTGCCCTCCCAGTTTGCTTCCTTTACTTCATGTGCTCAAGGCCAGCTCTGATGCTTTCACTGGCAACTCCTGGGAAAGAGAAGAAAGCAGGGACTTGAGATCGGGAGGCTGCCTGAAGGAAGAGCTAGAGAGGCTCAGACGTCCCTTTGTTTTACAATGCCACTTTTGCTAACTGTTAATACAAATGCTTTGATTTATGAAGAAATTGTTTTTTAGCTTGTTTTGTTTTTGCAGTTCTGTTAATATAAATCCATTGATTCATGATGAAAGTGTTGTTTTTTAATTTTCTATTTGAGTTTATGGCCATGCATTCCTAATATTACATTAGGAATAAAGCCATTGCTGATAATGTGGTTCTGGACCCTTGATATGCACATAATAATGCTGATTACATTTGCCTGCAAGTGAATATGGGGTAACAATAAACATCAGTGCCATAACAGGCTAGCGGCCCTGTGTGATGTTTTCAGAATTAACTGTGAATCGGTTATCACTTTCATTTATGACATAAGGGATAAAAACAAGTGGAGTAATTGAGCAAGCAGGCACTCTGAGTGTGGCTATTTTGAGGAGCAGTAGGCGAATCACTAAGTGTACTTACTGGACAGCCATCTGTCCGTGGATGCATTTCATGTTAAAGGATGATGTATACTAATTGCACAATATAAATCACCAATAAAGATTGTACTAGTCCATTTCTAACAGAGGAGGGACCTCTGCAGAAAACACCTCTGGGCTACAGGAACAAGTCAAAGCCAATTAGAATGCATATTCTCAGACTTCACCCAGAGGTTTTCTTTGTCCTTGCGGGACAGGGCCCAGGAATCCACATTTTATGAAATTCCTGCTGATATTGATGCATGTGACCCTCAAGCCTCACTTTGGGAACCAGAAGCACACCTTACATTTTCAGAAGAAACAAATACCTACTTACATTATCCCAAGTCAGTGCTCTCTTAGATTCAAGGGAAACTAAGCCGTACTCACAGATTCTGGGTCGAGGGGCAGAAATGAAGGAGGAATATATTCACCTGCTTTAACTCCATTGCTTTACAAAAACGTTTTTTCCGGCCCACATTTTTAATCCTAATGAATTCCCACCTGGGAGAGGAGGTACAGACTTGGCCCTCTTACCATTCACCTGACATTGACTGATGCTGGCCAAAGAGCCACAGTCAACTGAAATACTCTGGCAGAGTAAACGTTCCCCTCTCCGGGGGAAAGAGTCCAAGTGTGTGCTCAGAGCTCCTGTCCTGCTCTGGGCTCTGAGATGGCAAATGTCTGCGAACTGTTTCCGCTCCTTCCTCCTGGAGGTTCTACAGGAAGTAGAATTGGAGTCAGCGGGGGAGCTTAGCAAAGACTAATTCCCCAGTCCATCCTTGGGGCTCTGATTTCAATGAGGAGCTAGTTTGTAGGTGGGATGGTGCCTGAGCTGCTTCAAAAGGCTGAACTACGCAGGAGTAGACGAGGTGGGAAGGGCACCATAGGTACAATGGAACAGAATGGCATGGTTGCCTGCCACTTAAGCAGGCACTCATTCATTCATCTTTTGGATACCCACTATATGCAGAACGTGAGCTACAGGCTGGGAAAAGAAGAAAATGGAACACAAAACCTACCCTGGGAAACTCAGCAGCCTTGAAAGGACCCCTGGAGTCTGGATGCGGGGACTTCCAGCCAGCCTCTCTGCCCTGACTGCGCCTGTTAGAACCAGCTCGGAGGAGGCCACCCGCCCTGCACACCCACCCATGCTTCCCATTCCCTCAGAAGAAGTCCAAAGTCCTCACGCTGGCCCAGTTCTCCAGCCCTTCCGTGCCTCTGACTCACCTTCTTTATCCTTCCCTTCCCAGCCCAAGGCTTGGCCTCACTGTCCCCTCCCAGCCTTTGCCTGTAGGGAGGTTTCTCCCCTCAGGTACTGCACACCGCTTATCCCTCTGGCCCAAACTCTTCTCCTGGACATCTGCACATCTCCCCTCATATTTTTTTAAGTCTCTGCTGGAATTTAACCAAATCCAGGAGGCTTTAGCAACAAACCCATTACAAAATATCCAATCGCAAATGGCTCTCATCTCACCAGACTCTTCTTCTGTTCTGTATTTGTCTTCACAACACTTTTTCCCACATGACATGTTGCGTCTTTCTTTGCTGATTTGGTCTTGCAGTCTTTAATCCTGTGTTAGAAGAGTAATGTTTCACATAGGGCAATATTCTGTGCATCAATGTAACCCAAACCAGGTCTACTGGTACCTGGCCCCACAGTTATCAGACATATATGTGTATTGAATGAATGAATGAATGAAAGCATGAATGAGTATTTGGGAAGCCATAAGAGTTTGGTGTAACTAAAGCATGAAGAGGGGCAGGAAATGGGCTGGGACAGAGGCAGAGGCCCACTCAAGAAGGAACATTAATGTCTTGCAGAGGAACCGATTTGTGTTTTTTAGAGTGATCCCGTTGATCAAGTGTGAAAGATGAATTCAATTATTTCCTCATTTTTTACATGAACACCTGAGTCACAAACAGGTTGAGTAATTTGCCCAAGTTCACAAAATAAGGGAATCACTAAGATGCCAACTCAAGAAGTTCATCTCTAGATGAACCAGTAGGCTCCCCTTTTTTCCATAGAAATAACGCTTTTTTCTGGCCTTTTTTCTGTCTTTAATTCATTGTATAATTTAACCCAAAAATACACTACCTGAGCTTAGATACAGCAAGCATGCATTTAATTCCTTTTTTCCAATGGAAAAAGTATCACATGGAGCCCTTCATGCCAAGGCCAGCATTTCTCTCTCCTCCTGTACTAGCAGTCGATGTCAGCTGTTGGAGGGGCAGGTGTCTCATGCAAGAAGCACTGCGCCAGACCTGGCAAGGCATGTGCCCGCAGGGTCTAGAGTCATCCCGGGGCCAGATGGGACCAGCTCAGAGGAGAAGCCAGCTTCATGGAGGATTCAGTTATGAGGAATACTTGCACTTTTGATAAGTGACCCTTAAGAGGCCACAGGAGCTATTGGGACGTAGATATAAAATGCCCACAAGTCTTATGTTCATAGGCGGGCCTTCAGGGAGGTGACGGGTTCACGGGGGCACTATGCTCATCAGTGGGTCAATCCATTGATGTATTCATGGCCAAATGTGCATGAGGAGGCAGGGGCTGGTTAGAGTTGGGTCGCAGTGTTGCGGGAAATATGAAATATGAAATATTATATCTCTCAGCCTGTTAACTGTATGACATGCCGAGTTTTCATGTTTTAGAAATCGAAGAATGAGTCCTAGGAAGGTTGGAGGTTAAGAGTAGGAAGATTCTTATTGATCGGAAAGCTTGTGAGGGGCAGGAGGGGTCCCGAGTGGGCAGCCTGGGACCCCACTTTACAGAGGAGTTTAGAGGGTGAAACCCAGATGGGTACAGGTGGGCCCCAGCCGTGATCATCCACTAAGGTCACAGGTGCAGTCACTCAGGTGATGGTGTCCAGTTGGGAAGCGAGTCACGTAGCAAGTGTGGATGGAGAGAACAAGGATTCTCCTAGCAGGCAGTGGGTCCAGAGCTCTCTGGTCACCCCAGGGTGGTCGATGCCTGTCTAGGCTTCACTAAGCCCAGGGCTTTGAAGAAGTCCGTGGGTCTGGTCATCCTGTCTGCATCTTGTTTTTGTTTTGTTTTTGGTACCGGGGATAGAACTCGGGTCCTTGTGCTTGCGCAGCAGTCTTGTCTCCATCGTGAGGCCTGGTTTTCAGTTGTGGTGCTGTGGTGTGTTTCACCTTTGTCCTGGCCCTCTCAAGGACTCAGCCCTATCTGACTGCCTATAATATTTCTACCTAGCTCATCTATCTATAATAACAGGAAGGGTATTTACTGTCGTCAGCTGCTTCCCTCTCTGCTTTCTGGATGCCATGTTGTGAGCAGCTTTCTTCTGTCATACCCTTCCACCATGCCATTTATGTCTTGGAGTCAGCCAACCATGGACTGAACTTCTGAAAAACCATAAGCCAAAATAAACCCTTCCTCCTTTAAGTTGGATTTTTTGGTCCCAGCCAGGAGAACACTAATCCAGGAGGGGACTGACCTTCATCAGCTGGGGCATCTGTCTCAAGTCACTGAAAGGTAAAAGTGAGAGAGGTACAGAGGTTGAGGAAGAGCATTCTAGACACATAGAACAAGGAGACAGAGAGCAATATACTGATTTGTTTGCTTGAAAACAAGAGTTAGACCTGGATCCTGTTCTCTATTCTTGAGTGATAGGTTTCCAAGGAATCTCACCACCGAAGATAAACAAGAACTCTGATCTCATGTGAATGTCTTTGGCCTCCTATGAAATTCATTTTCCTTTGTCTGGGCTTGAAAATGATGGTGTTTATACATACAGAAGGGCTGTGTGCTTCAGTGACTTTGAAAGGGTCTCATCCTAGCTATGCAAAAGTGCTGGATGGATACTCAAGGCTATGGTAAAGTTTTGTCCCAGGAAATTTTGCAAATATTAATCCATCCACTTTGGAAAAACTGGAAAAGTTAAACTAATTGTACATTTACTTTAGGACATCCCGGTACTGTTTTCTTCAAGGGCTCAAAAATACCAACTAGTTTATATATTTATGAGTTCACTAGGTTAGACATGAGCAGCTCTAGTTGAGAAAAAATAAACTCCAAACACCCTGATTTCTAACTGAGTTTTAAAAGCAACATAATGGGGGTGGGAGAGGGCAGGGCATACTTGGAGTTTCCCCCAAAGTTCAAACTGCTTTGCTGTATTTTAAATTGTTTTTCAGAAGTAGCTTTGTGGTAGAAATAAATCTCACATCAGTGTACCTACAGGACACCTCAGTCTTCACCCTTTTCCAAGAACTCTGAGATGTGTAGAGATGTCATTTCCCCCAGCTTCAAGACGAGAAAGTATGTTTAACTGGCCTCCCTAAATTTACATGACTAGTTTAATGAATAATCAGGCTGGGCTTGGGCCCTGACTTTGGCTTGGGCCAAGTCTTTCTTCAGTAATTTCCATCACGTCAAATAGCAAAGAAAGCATTTAAAGAATGTAACAATTTCCTTTGGCTGTTTTCATTTGACAGTAAAAGATGTCTTAATATGTCAGAATCAAACCACCATCCCACACTGAACAATGCAGAGGATTTAAAAAAATGTCCCCACAGTATACTGATCTCATAGCAGATCC